GTCTGGTTTCAGGATTCCAGTTATTCCTGAAGCTCTTCTTGAACTGATGGAGCCGTAGAAACGACCTGAACAGAAACTCTGATGAATGTGGATCTCTCACAGTAACCACTAGAGTGTGTCATGAAGCTTCATGATCCTGCTCAGATCAGATGGGTGTTTCTAGAGTACAGAATCACACTCTTCACAGGAAGACCAGAGTAAATAAACACTCGCACTGCTAGCTTTGGTTAGTTTGATTCTAGTTAAATCTGTTGAAATATTACCTTTTATACTGGTGATGGTGTTTTCATGCCGTCTCTGATATTGAGACACTTTTAATTTTACTGTGAAATATTTCATACTCGCTGTTCCTCAGCCCTCAGAAACTGGACCTTCTGTTTAATGTACTGTGATTATAGTTTTCACAAAAACAGTTTTAAATAAATATGAATTTTTTATTATTAAACTTAAACTTTTTTGGCCATGATTATAATTAATATCTTTTATGAAGGCATGCAAATGAAATGGCGATGTTCAACAGGTATGTACACTTTACACAAAATCACTTCTTTCAGAAACACTCATAAATATGATTTACATCAAATAAATAATATAATGTAGCTTAAGTTTGTCTTATGTTTGAACATATTCTACAAATCACAATAGAAAGGCTGAAGGTGAATGTCAAGAAACCTGTCAAGAACATTGTTTAATATACAGTATATATATATATATATATATACACACACACACACACGTTCTTGACGGGTTTGGTGAGATTCTGTGATCCAGTCAGCTTAGTGGAGAGATGCGTTCAGATGTTCATATAAACATGTCCGTGTGTATAAGGTGTTTGTGTCTCTGATGAGTAGTCTGTTGATTTTGAGATCTGGATTTCCAGTATTTGTTTGTGAGGTTGTTGTGAAAGTGCTTCATTATTATGGGCTGAAGTGAAAAGCATCAGAGAGTTTGACCCGTCCTTCATCCGCAGAGAAAGACACAAGTGTCTGTTGTTGTTGCAGTCCATGGAGTGTCCAGTAGAGGATGCCACCGTTAACCTGATTCTGGAGAATATGGTACCTGTGTGATCACACACGGGCTCCGTCCCAAATGGAGGCCTGAGCTCTTCATAGGGTGGCTATATGTTGGGTTTAAGGTCAGACAGTCCAGTTTGTAAATGCATGTCCATTGGTATACAATGATATATAATTAATAAAAAAAATGTTTTAAAGTGCTGTATAAATTAATATTAAGAGACATACATTTTAGACACAATATAGTTCCTATATTCCACCAACAAAGCTAGTTCAGAATCACAGCATAACCATTGCATCTCTGTTCAACACAGTGGAGTTTTGTTCCTGAATTATTCAGATTTTTTGAATGATTCAGTTGAGTCAATGATTCAATGACTCATTCATAAAGACTGCCACTTGCTGTTTTCTTGAACGAATCAGCCATTTTGAACTAATTAGTTGAATCAGTCAGTCACTTGTTTTGTTCCTAAATGAATCAGCTGTTTTGAATGAATCGGTTGAGTCAATGATTCAGTGACTCATTCATAAAGACAGTCACTTTCTTCATTCCTGAATAAATTGGTCACTTTGAACCGATTAGTTGAGTCAATAATTCAGTGACTCATTCATAAAAGCGTTTTTTTTTTTTTTATGAATTGTGTTTTTGATTCAATGATCCATTCATAAGGACAGTTGCTGTATTCAGAACCATGTACTACTAACACAACTCTCACTATTTCTGCCATGCAAAGATATCCTAAAATTAGTAAGAGTAGTATGCGTTTCTGAATTCATCAAGTCACTTGCTTCATTGCCGAATGAACCAGCAGTTTTAAATGAATCGGTTGAGTCAATGATTCAATCACTCATAAAGAGTCACTTGCTTTATTGCCGAATGAACCATCTGTTTTGGATGAATTGGTTGAATCAATGATTCAATGACTCATTCATAAAGACAGTCAGTTGCTTTGTTGCTGAATGATCCAGCCGTTTTAAATGAATCAGTTAAGTCAATAATTCAATGACTCATTCATAAAGCCAGGCAGTTGCTCCATTCCCAAGCAAATCAGCGTTTTCTAATAAAATTGTTGAGTCAATGATTCAATGGCTCAAGTTGCTGTATTCGGAACCAGGTACTACTATCATGCAACTCTTACTATTTCTGCCATATTCTAAAAAATAGTACAAATAAAACATATACTAAATGCCTAATTTTATAAAAAGGTTATAAACCTTGCCCTTATAAAAGTAATATTGTCCCTCAATGGAAAGATTCTGTCAGTACTTATAGATTTGGGATTATTTTTAGCTTCACTGAATCCTCATTTTTGGTGCTATAGAAATGGCCACCCTCACTGATCATCAGTCATTCAATCCACATCAGCTGCTCCATTTGGGACGGAGCCGGAGCAAACGCAGTCAGGTGCCGTTACTGAGCATGCCCAGTAGTTTGTGGGGCTCCATGCCCTGCTGCTGTGCCACGCGCTGCACGTCGAAGCCCAGGTGTGTGAGGAACTGGATGACGCTCATCTCTTGCCCCGTCAGCTGCTCTCTGATGGTGGGGCAGGTGGGGTTGCAGTGGGGCCACGGGCAGCTGTCAATCAAGTGAAGGGGGCAGCCCCGGGGCGGAGCCTGAATGCTGCTGCTGTTGCCGTGGTGACGGAGGCTGCGGTCCCAGCACTGCAGCGCTCGAGGAAGTGAAGTACCTTTGACGTGGATGTCCATCCAATAACTAGAGGAAAAAGACTGACTTACTGCATACAGAATACAGTAACTGAAGAGTTGTATCATGGATAATGTATGTACTGTACACTGATTTCTGAAGGTGTCATCAAATGCCAATTTTCCACAAGTTGATATGATTCTTTAGGGTCTTACTGAAAAGTCTATAACATACTTTTGTTAAAATTTCTCAATGGTAGTGTAAAAAACACCCCTTTTACCCTGTCAAAAACAGCTCCGTTCACAGCGACCCGTTTCGGTGCATGTCTCTTTAAATGCTAATGAGCTCTGCTGACCCCGCCCCTCTCTTCGTTCTCATGAGACTGTTAACTTTATCTGCGGAACTTGCTAACTTGCACATTATTAGGAAAGGCGATTTGCAAAGATTCATTAAAAAAAACCTTCAATCACAAATGATTCGTGCAAACATAAACGCATTTAGGCAGATCGGGAGGTGCATTCCCATCAAAAACAAAAGTAATCCTCTGTGTCTTCAGCGGCTCAGATATCGGGAGTACAGCGGGTAAAATAAGTGTTGAGCACGTCAGCATTTTTCTCAGTAAATATATTTCTGAAGGTGCTGTTGACTTGAAATTTTCTCCAGATGTCTGTAACAACACAAGTACTCCATTCATACACAGAAAACAATACAAATAAGTTCAGAAATTAAGTTCTGTGTAATAAAAGGGAAAGTATTGAGCTACTGTAATGTATTTAATACTTTGTACAAAAGTGTTTGTTGGTGATGACAGCTGTCTGGAGAAACTAGTGGCATGCATTGCTCAGGTGTGCTTTTGGCCCATTCTTCCACAGAGTCTTCAAATCTTCATCTTCATCATCCTGGTTCTGTAGGTGTTGGGACTGAAGCTCATATTAATCTCCACTGACGAGGGGCAGGATTGCTTTCTAATTACTGATAGATTTCTGCTGCTGTCTTGGCTTTCCGTCTGTTTTTGCAGCTCCCTTTCTTCATGCGTTCAATACTTTTCCCCTGTGTTACACAGAACTTAATTTCTGAACTTATTTGTATTGTTTTCTGTGTATGTCTGGAGTACTTGTGTTGTTACCGACATCTGGAGAACATTTCAAGTCAACAGCACCTTTAGAAATATATTTACTGAGAAAAATGCTGACGTGTTCAATACTTATTTTACCTGCTGTAAATGATGACTTCTCTATTCATTATTGCATCCAACAACAGAACACCCGCTGCTCTGGAAAACTGTTCATTATGATAATGCATAACTGAAATAAATGTTTATTTTTTGCATTTTAAGCATGCCTAGTGAGATAAAGAGCAAGTGAACACATACTCACTGCATACTCACCTTCTTGTGATGATCTCATGAGACAAACAGGCGGGAGCGAACATGGCCCTGTCAATCACAGCAAGGGCCAACCAGAGATCAGTTAGAGTTTTCAAGTTGAATTTTTAAGTAATTATATATATATATATATATATATACAAGTAATATTTTGCATAAAAAATGAAGCTTATTTTTAGGACCAATCCATTATTATTATTATTTGCATGACAATTAGGCACACTGACCTCTCAAAATAAATAATTTGTTATTGTTTTTTACATTTGTTGTCAATCAGAATGATCAAATGGCAATCAGATGAGTTTGCCAGTTTCACAGACGTCATCAGATCCGTGATGTTGGGGTAACACCACAGACCTGACAGGAGTTCAGGAGCTCGTGCAGATGAAATGCTTACGGGACGTTTTTGAGGGTGTTTCTGAGTTCGCTGCCCAGGTTCTGGATGTATCTCCACTGACCCTCCTGCACCGGCTGACCCGTCAGATGGACATTATCAACCATCAGCTGAGAGCAGGAGAGAGAGACAGAGAGAGAGAGAGCGGGCGAGAGACACAGACAGAGAGAGAGAGAGACACAGAGAGAGAGAGAGAGCGGGCGAGAGACACAGACAGAGAGAGAGAGCGGGCGAGAGACACAGAGAGAGAGAGAGCGGGCGAGAGACAGACAGACAGAGAGAGAGAGCGGGCGACAGACACAGAGAGAGAGAGAGAGCAGGAGAGGGACACAGAGAGAGAGAGAGCGGGCGAGAGACACAGACAGAGAGAGAGAGAGAGAGAGAGAGAGAGAGAGAGAGAGAGAGAGAGAGAGAGAGAGAGAGAGAGAGAGAGAGAGAGAGAGAGAGAGAGAGAGAGAGAGAGAGAGAGAGAGAGAGAGAGAGAGAGAGAGAGAGAGAGAGAGAGAGAGAGAGAGAGAGAGAGAGAGAGAGAGAGAGAGAGAGAGAGAGAGAGAGAGAGAGAGAGAGAGAGAGAGAGAGAGAGAGAGAGAGAGAGAGAGAGAGAGAGAGAGAGAGAGAGAGAGAGAGAGAGAGAGAGAGAGAGAGAGAGAGAGAGAGAGAGAGAGAGAGAGAGAGAGAGAGAGAGAGAGAGAGAGAGAGAGAGAGAGAGAGAGAGAGAGAGAGAGAGAGAGAGAGAGAGAGAGAGAGAGAGAGAGAGAGAGAGAGAGAGAGAGAGAGAGAGAGAGAGAGAGAGAGAGAGAGAGAGAGAGAGAGAGAGAGAGAGAGAGAGAGAGAGAGAGAGAGAGAGAGAGAGAGAGAGAGAGAGAGAGAGAGAGAGAGAGAGAGAGAGAGAGAGAGAGAGAGAGAGAGAGAGAGAGAGAGAGAGAGAGAGAGAGAGAGAGAGAGAGAGAGAGAGAGAGAGAGAGAGAGAGAGAGAGAGAGAGAGAGAGAGAGAGAGAGAGAGAGAGAGAGAGAGAGAGAGAGAGAGAGAGAGAGAGAGAGCGGGCGAGAGACAGAGAGAGAGAGAGAGAGACACAAACACAGAGAGAGAGAGAGACGCTCATCATCCTTATGTCAGATTCAAGACAGTAATACTATTGCAGTATTATAAATTATTTTTTAAAATTCAGTTTTAAAATTGTTTTATATTTTAGTTTAGGTTTTAATAATTTAGTTTTTTGACTTTAATAATAAAGTTTTACTTTTTTTACTTTACTTTTTGTAATTTTCGTACTTATTTATTTCAGTTAGCTTCCAAAGCAATGTTTTTCATTTTCTAAAATAAAATAAAAAATAAAAAAAAGTTTTCTAGAAGGTTTTTCTTCTAACATTTATTTTATTCAGGTTTATTACAGTTAACTAAAACCATATAAAAACATTTTGTTTATTACTTGAAATTAAATAAGCCTTATCTGAAATATATAAAAATATAAAAAATATATTTCAGTTTTTTATTTTATTTTAAATAACAAAAATGTTTTAAGTGCTTTTAGATGTAATATTAGTTGACTATAATGATGACCCTAACTGAAATAAAGCTGAAAAGACCAAAGCATAATCTCTCGGTTTTCTATAGTTTAACTGGACGTACTAAAATAACAAACTAAATAAACTAAAACTATATAGACATATTAAAATAAGATAACAAAAACATACAACAAAATAAAATCTATAATAGTATATCAATAATACTAAAATAACCAACTACTGTAAAATGATTTTTATAAAACAGATAGTTCCGGTCTTGTTCGAAGCTTCTGTGTGTTGCTCGGCAACCACTTTGTAGCAACCACAACTGTTTCTGAGGAGCTACATTGTTTGGTGGAAGAATACTGTGTTTATTAATATCATTACACTTTATTTGCTCTGTTTTATTTTGTGTAATCTTACTACGTATATGCAATAACCGTTTTATAAAAGCAGTAACCCCCGTGAAGCCGTGGTTTAAGGTGAGTTTATAACAGCTAAGGGGCCTTCAGAGTGGGCCTTCTTGGGGCTTATTGCTTTAGTAATAGTTACGTGATCAGTAAGTGTCAGTGGTGTGCTGGTGATTGAGACACTAGAAGGGGATGTGGAGTCACATACTCTTCAGTGTGGGCTGAACCTTATAGCCAAAGAAGCAGTTCCAGTCCTCGCCGTTATACACACGACTGCAGCGCTCCGGAACCACGCTGTTCCAATATCTGAACACAAAACACAAAACACGGTCCCACATACAGTATAACCGCATAAACACGTGTGAATGTGTGCGTGTCTCACCGCACTCCTCTCTTGATGGCCTCGGTCGGAGCACAGCTGATCGTGTCGATGCAGTCGGTGAAGCGGTACTGTTTATGATCCAGAAACCAGCCCGAGTCCGCCAGACCCCGAACCTGAACCGAACCGAGACCCAGATCCTCCAGCAGCTCCGACACACGGTCCACATTCAGCAGCACTCCGGTACCACCGGCGCTGAAGACACAACACAGCCGAGATCAGTGTGTTTCAGCAGTGAGATCAGCACTGCATCAGTGTCTCAGCGATGGATGCTCTGCAGTGAATGGGTGCCGTCAGAATGAGAGCTGATAAAAACATCACAATAATCCACAGCACTCCAGTCCATCAGTGAACATCTGGAGAAGATAAAAGCTGAAACACATCCAGCATTAAGACGTTTTTAACAAATACATAGAGTCTATAATCCATAATAACTCTTCCTCCAGTGAGTCAGTGTTCTGGTGTGAATCAGGAGAGAAATCTGCACAGATCAAGCAGCGTTTAAACAGCTCTAAACACATATGTGGCTGGATTTTGATGCGAGAGACAACAGCAGATGCACTTTTTCACTGGAGGAAGAGTTATTATGGATTATAGACTCATATAAAAACGTCTTAATGCTGGATGTGTTTCAGCTTTTGTCTTCTCCAGATGTTAACTGATGGACTGGAGTGCTGTGGATTATTGTGATGTTTTTATCAGCTGTTTGGACTCTCATTCTGACGGCACCCATTCACTGCAGAGCATCCATTGCTGAGACACTGATGCA